GAGGAGAGGGAAAGTGTAGAGGCACGGCGAGAGGTACTGGGGTGTGTTACCAGTCCGGTCCGGCCCGTTCCTGATCCCTGCGTAGGGCCAGTGGTGTGTGTCCCCAGTACGGTCCGACCTGTTCCTGTTCCTCGCATCGAGCCTGTGGTGCGTGTCGTCAGCCCGGCCCGGCCTGTTCCTGATCCCCGCACCGAGCCTATGGTGCGCGTCGCCAGCCCGGCCCGGCCTGTTCCTGCTCCCCGCACCAAGCCTATGGTGCGCGTCACCAGCCCGGCCCGGCCCGCTCCTGCTCCCCGCACCAAGGCAGTGGTGCGCTTCGTCAGCCCGGTCCGGCCCGTTCCTGCTCCCCGCACCAAGTCAGTGGTGCGCTTCGTCAGCCCGGTCCGGCCCGTTCCTGCTCCCCGCACCAAGCCTATGGTGCGCGTCGCCAGCCCGGCCCGGCCCGCTCCTGCTCCCCGCACCAAGTCAGTGGTGCGCTTCATCAGCCCGGTCCGGCCCGTTCCTGCTCCCCGCACCAAGCCTATGGTGCGCGTCGCCAGCCCGGCCCGGCCTGTTCCTGCTCCCCGCACCAAGCCTATGGTGCGCTTCGTCAGCCCGGTCTGGCCTGTTCCTGCTCCCCGCACCAAGCCTATGGTGCGCGTCGCCAACCCGGCCCGGCCTGTTCCTGCTCCCTGCACCAAGTCAGTGGTGCGCTTCGTCAGCCCGGTCCGGCCCGCTCCTGCTCCCCACACCAAGCCAGTGGTGTGCGTCGTCAGTCCGGCACAGCCCGTGCCTGTTCCACCGGTGCCTGGTCCGGTACCGGTCAGCTGCTCCACGCCGGAGCTAGAGCAATCCGCTCCACCAGTGTTCAGTCCAGCTCCGGCCAGCAGGGCCAGACCGGACCAGGGGTACTTTGGGGGGTTAGAGAGGGAGTGGGGATCATGCCCGGAGCCGGATCCGCCGCCAAGGCGGAGTGCCCACCCGGTCCCTCCCCTGTGGTGTTTGGTTGGCGCGGTCGGAGTCCGCGCCTTTGGGGGGGAGGTACTGTCACGCCCTGGCTCTGGGGACTCTAGTATGTTGAGCCAGGGTGTGAGTTTTCATGTGTTTCTGTTCTAGTCTATTGTATTTCTATGTTGGCCAGAGTGGTTCCCAATCAGAGGCAACGAGTGTCAGCTGTTGCTGGTTGTCTCTGATTGGGAACCATATTTAGAAAGGCTGTTTTCCCACAGTGGTTGTGGGATCTTGTTCCAGTGTGGGTTGTGTTAGACCGAGGACGTCACGTTATCGTTTGTTGTTTTTGTTAGTGTTGTTATCATTATTTAATAAATATGTTCACCGTTCACGCTGCGCCTTGGTCCTCCTCCTTCGACGATCGTGACAACGAACAAAAACAACAAGGCTGTTTTCCCACAGTGGTTGTGGGATCTTGTTCCAGTGTGGGTTGTGTTAGACCGAGGACGTCACGTTATCGTTTGTTGTTTTTGTTAGTGTTGTTATCATTATTTAATAAATATGTTCACCGTTCACGCTGCGCCTTGGTCCTCCTCCTTCGACGATCGTGACAACGAACAAAAACAACGATTGTTGTTTTCCCACAGTGGTTGTGGGATCTTGTTCCAGTGTGGGTTGTGTTAGACCGAGGACGTCACGTTATCGCTTGTTGTTTTTGTTAGTGTTGTTATCATTATTTAATAAATATGTTCACCGTTCACGCTGCGCCTTGGTCCTCCTCCTTCGACGATCGTGACAACGAACAAAAACAACAAATCGATACGTGACGTCCAAAGGTGCAAAACACAAACCTATACAGGAACAAGATCCCACAAACACTGTGGGAAAACTGGCTGCTTAAGTATGGTTCCCAATCAGAGACAACAAGCAACAGCTGATACACGTTGCCTCTGATTGAGAACCACACTGGCCAACATAGAACTATAAAGCTAGAACGAAAAGTACCCCCCCCCCAAAGGCGCGGACTCCGGCCGCGCCAACCAAACACCACAGGGGAGGGACCGGGTGGGCACTCCGCCTTGGCGGCGGATCCGGCTCCGGGCATGATTCCCACTCCCTCTCCAACCCCCCAAAGTACCCCTGGTCCGGTCTGACCCTGCTGGCCGGAGCTGGACTGAACACCGGTGGAGCGGATTGCTCTAGCTCCGGCGTGGAGCAGCTGACCGGTGCAGGACCAGGCACCGGTGGAACAGGCACGGGCTGTGCCGGACCGACGACGCACACCACTGGCTTGGTGTGGGGAGCAGGAACAGGCCGAACCGGGCTGACGATGCACACCATAGGCTTGGTACGTGGAGCAGGAACAGGCCGGGCCGGGCTCACGATGCGCACCATAGGCTTGGTGCGTGGAGCAGGAACAGGCCGGGCCGGGCTGACGACGCGCACCACAGGCTCGATGCGAGGAACAGGAACAGGCCGGACCGTACTGGGGACACACACCACTGGCCCTACGCAGGGATCAGGAACGGGCCGGACCGGACTGGTAACACACCCCAGTACCTCTCGCCGTGCCTCTACACTTTCCCTCTCCTCTGTGACCAGTGGCCCCCTTAACCTGGCGGCCTCCTCTGCAAACCCGCTGGACCGCTCTATCGCGGCCTCCTGCTGCCCAGTCGTCCACGGCGTGAGCCACCCCCTAAAAATCTTCTGGGGGTCTCTCCTCCCCGTGGGCCAGGCCCAGTCGAGGTTGATGTCCTTTAGCGATACCTCTGGCGCTGGCTCCTGGACACGCTGCTTGGTCCAGTGTTGGTGGGATCTTCTGTCACGGTTTCGGCCGAGGCTGCTTCTCCTTCTTGTTCGGGCAGGCTTCGGCGGTCGTCGTCTCCGGAGTACTAGCTGCCACCGTTCTATATTTCGATGTTCGTTTGGTTTGGTCTGTTTGTACACCTGTTCTTTGTTAGTGTTGATTATGTGCCCTATAAGTTCTCTTAGGTTTTGTCATGTGTTGTGTGTAATTGTTTCGTGTCAGCTAGGCGTCAGTTTGTTCTCTCTCGTTCTGTTTTGTTTGGAGAGAGTGTCCGCACTGTGTGCGCAGTTTGGGTTACGCACTGTTTCCTGTGTGCGTAATTGTTTCGCTTGCCCTCCGGCTGGGATTTTGCCGTGAGTCTTTTTGTATTGTTTGATCCTCACTAAAGACTGTTGAAGAGCCTCTGTTGTCCTGCGCTTGATTTCTGCACCACATCTACGCTCAGTCCTTGACAAATGGTGACAGAGCTAGAACGGTGTTAGTCAGACCATGAGACATTCCGAAAATTGGTCTTCTCACAAAATCGTCTGTAGCGTCTGAAAAAATATTATGACCCATCTATGGAAAGATGAGACTGTCACGAACACGACGACGTTCTCCGTTTTGACCCCCACAAGCATCTTGGGACTCGTCTGAAGTCGGTACAGCGAATCTGCTAACTTCTGTATGTGGCGTCCGAAATGATTTGGCTACAGACTAATATGACCACTCTGTGTAAAGGAAGCCTATCGGCCTCACAAGACTCGTCTGAATGTCCCCCGGTAGCAGTCAAAACAATTAACGGAAGTACACAACATGACCAAAAGTATGTGGACACCTGCTCGTCTAACATCTCATTCCAAAATCATGGGCATTAATATGGAGTTGGTCCCCCTTTGCTGCTATAACAGCCTCCACTCTTCTGGGAAGGCTTTCCACTAAATGTTGGAACATTGCTGCGGGGACTTGCTTCCATTCAGCCACAAGAGCATTAGTGAGGTCGGGCACTGATGTTGGGCAATTAGGCCTCGCTCGCAGTCGGCATTCCAATTCATCCCAAAGGTGTTCGATGGGGTTGAGGTCAGGGCTGTGCAGGCCAAACAAGTTCTTCCACACTGATCTCGACAAACTATTTCTGTATGGACCTCGCTGAATCAGGAAAGGGCCTTCCTCAAACTGTTGCCACAAAGTTGGAAACACAGTATCGTCTAGAATGTCATTGTATGCTGTAGCGTTAAGATTTCCCTCACTAGAACTAAGGGGCCTAGCCTGAACCATGAAAACAGCCCCAGATCATTATTCCTCACTCACCAAACTTTACAGTTGGCACTATGCATTGGGGCAGGTAGCATTCTCCTGGCATCTGCCAAACCCAGATTCGTCCGTTGGACTGCCAGATGGTGAAGCGTGATTAATCACTCCAAAGAATGTGTTTCCACTGCTCCAGAGTCCAATGGAGGCGAGCTTTACAGTACACCACACCACACCAGCCGACGCTTGGTATTGCGCATGGTGATCTTAGGCTTGTATGGAACCCCATTTTGTGAAGCTCCTGACAAACAGTTATTGTGCTGACATTGCTTCCAGAGGCAGTTTGGAACTCAGTAGTGAGTTTTGCAAATGAGGACAGATGATTTTTACGCACTGCACGCTTCAGCACTCGGCGGTTCCGTTCTGTGAGCTTGTGTGGCCTACCACTTTGCGGCTGAGCTGTTGTTGCTCCTAGACGTTTCCACTTCACAATAACAGCACTTACAGTTGACCGGGGCAGCTCTAGCAGGGCAGAAATTTGACGAACAGAGTTGTTGGAAAGGTGTCATCCTATGACGGTGCCACGTTGAAAGTCACTGAGCTCTTCAGTAAGCCCATTCTACTGTTTAGTGGCAAAAATAATCCTGATCTTTCTTATATCGCTCAGATATAAGATAGACACTTCAGAACAAACTTCCTTTAGATTTTTTTTGGGGCGGACTATCTGTTATTCCATGTAGTGAATCGGTTATTCAATGCATTTGTATGGGCTAATAGCAGTAAGTCCAAATGTTTCATCAAATATTTTTTATATATTTTTTCTTTTTACTTCAAAATTCTAAATCAAATAGCAAAATGATCCTTGGTATGACCTTCTTAAAACAATTCCATATAGCTTAGTAGACAGGACTTAGACTATTAAGGGTTAATGGCATATATCACTAAATGTGAATGTACAAAATCAAATGATATGGAAGCTGTTTATCAGAAGTTTGACTATTTTTACATTATACCCTTTTTCTCTGTTTCAGGGGCCAGTGCGGTGTTTACCCAGCAGCCCACAGACCTGGTGGTGGTGGCGGGTCAGCCAGTGACCCTGCCCTGCTCCATCCCTGGGTACCACGGCATGGTGCTCTGGCTCCGAGACGGCATGGCCCTGGGAGTCAACAGGGACCTCTCAGGTAGGAATTCTTCTTATTCTGGTATAACTTTACTTAGAATGGTGATAATGTAGCATTCATGAAGCTTTCGGAAACCCTTTATATCTATATCTCTTGCACTGGCTCTATGCACACTCACTGGACTCTACCCACACACTCATACATACTACACTGACACTCCAACACACACACACATACACACACACACACACACACACACACACACACACACACATGCATATTGACGCCACACACACACACACACACACACACTCACACATAGACACACTTTCACACTCTTTCACACTCTTCACATACGCTGCTGCTACTCTGTTTATTATCTATTCTGGTACTTAAGTAAAAACACTTGAAAGTACTACTTAAGTAGTTTTCTGGGGTATCTGTATTTTATTTTACTATTTATATTTTTCACTACTTTTACATCACTACATTCAAATCAAATCAAATCAAATTTTATTGGTCACATAACTTCCTAAAGAAAACGATGTACTTTTTACTCCATTCTTGTTCCCTGACACCCAAAAGTACTTGTTACATTTTCAATGCTTAGCAGGACAGGAAAATTGACTAATTCACACACTTATCAAGAGAACATCCCTGGTCATCCCTACTGCCTCTGATCTGTTTTTTCAAAATGATTGACGAGAAAAGTATCGTCCAAGCCATCTCACTGCATATTTATATATGTGTTGAAAAATGCAGACAGACGGATTAGAAGTTAATTTGCATTGTAATACTTCTGACAGCCTCTATTTCTAACTCCACCCATAACTTTTGGACTTTATAACATTCCCAGAAGGCATGGATTATTATAACCTAATGAAAAATGAACCTGTAAGCAATTCATTTTTTTGTTGACCAAATTTGACACTCTCATTGACCTCCATACCAAAACTCCTTGCTTGGTGGGTGAAACAACGAAATAACACCACCTGCTGGAGGGAGACACATGTTCCGCCGAGTTGGGCCTCTCTCTTCCGCTTCCTCTCTGCACATACAAATAAATAAAAACATTTATTTGACCTTTTTGTTCACTATTTAGTGATGGATATTGTACGTTTGCACATAAAAAATAAGAAAATAAGAAATATAAGAAGCCAGGAAGTGACATCACACTGTCCTCTCACCTCTCTTTTGTTGTCATGTTTTTAAAGGTTTATAATGTGCAAAGTGCAATGTAAGTCTAAAAAATTATTGAAAAAGATCCATGCGCGCTCTCTTCATCAAAAAGGTAGCTGTCACTCGTCACATCAGGACAAATGTCAGAGCGATGCAACGGAGCAATGGAGTATTTAATTAGAGTTTGATCATTAATTCAAAGAGCCACTTCACGTGGCACAGGAGTCACAAACACTGATTGTGTAATTGCTGTTTTTCCAAACTCTCACAAGTGTTTCAAATGTATTTCATGGTGCGGCTTAATCAGAACCCTCTTCTGAATTATTAAGCAAAGACAAATTAGGGGGTTTACATGATTTTTGCAGACATTGGAGATTGGGCCCAATCACAAACGTAAAATTGTCATAAGTGCAAGTGATATGGTAAATGGCCAATATTACACGAGTTTCATCTGTAGGATCCACACTCAAAATGTATTCTCAAAGTTATTTTATGCTATTTTATTCATTTAGAGGCAACGAGCAAAAACAAATGGTTCGGCTGTTATGCCATTTTCAATGTGTGTCGATTACTGCTTGAGTACCATCACGTTACTACCATAATTATTTTCTTTGTTGTTTCCACAATTCTCCTACTCCTCTGCATTAGCCATCTTACGACACTGCAGTTGTCGAGTGAGAGGTATTTGAAAATTAACACTACAGCCAGAAAAGCAGTTTCTTAATCTCCCAGAATATAGTAAGCTCAACTAACCCTACACACCGGCACTCCAAACTGCATCTGGGTTAAAGAAAATCAAAATTTGAAAGTTGCAGCAATTTATGGCAGCATCTGCTGCTCCGCCAGATGGTTAAATTGCGTTTTGCTCATTTCCAAAGCGTCAGTGTCTGCTGCCCCAATCTTTCCTCGGGCTGTTTTGAAGACTGTACCGTCGCTCTGATGGCTGCCAGAGGAAATTATTTCCCACAATCAGTGTTGTATGGCGTGTTGTTTGGATAGGTAGAGTCAAATACTGGATAAATCAGCATCAATAACCCACCTTACAAACTATTTTACCCAATCAATGTCTTTGAGGAGACGTGGCACACGGCACACTTGACTGGATAAACAATTTGAATAAAATGTTGAATAACATCATTAGAGAGTACAGAAAATGTACCTGGGGTTACAATATGGCAATGGACTACAGTTTGCGTACCATGCCATGTCATCAGATTTGTTTTCTTCTTCTACAAATCTTGCCATGCCAATCTGTTACATTGTCTTCCCCTGAAGACATTGTCTGCTTTTGCCTCAGTCCCCTGTTTTATTTCGTCATGGACGGCGTTTCCATAATTGGGCCTGGGAGAACAATCCTTTCCCATTATGTCCAAACAATCCCACTTCAGGTCCTTTTAGTAGCATCCTGGGACCCATCACCTGTGTCACTGAAGTGCACTGTAATGACCGGGTCCCAGGGGCCTCCCGGTGCTTAACCAAAAATCACTATCAGCTCAGAGAAGAGAAAGAGAGAGCTAGAGAGAGAGAGAGAGAGAGAGAGAGAGAGAGAGAGAGAGAGAGAGAGAGAGAGAGAGAGAGAAAAGAGAGAACAGCTGTCTGTCTGTGTGTGTGTGCCTGCCATGGGGATAAATGCCACTTCTTTATGGCGGATCAATGATAGGGGGGTCTAGTGTGAACTGGAAAGGCTCTCTCCCAGCCGTGTGAACTGTGGAAAGTGTTTGCTTTTAGAGACGACAGGGAAATTAGACCTCTTAGTCAACACAACAGCTATGAGAAGGAGGCAGCAAGGCTACATACTGACACCGCACTATTGTCCTATTGGCTATCATAACTATCATCAGGAGCTAAAAGAATGGCTTGAACACTAAAGGATAATGGCACTTAAAGCTAAACATAATTAGTAGGACAGATTATGGCCATGAAGAGGTGTGGTAAATCAAAGGCCAAAGTCAATGAGGGAAAATTTGATTGTTAAATGATAATGCAGAGCAATGAAACAGTTTTCGAAAAAAGCTGCGGGAGGGATTTGACTGTCAATGGCATCGACAGCACCCTAGCCTCTTGCTTGCTCTCCCCGTGTGAATTGGACTCTTCCTTTTTCTACTTTTTTAATTGGAGCAAGGGAGTGCTTGCTTTGCATGTGGCCTTCACCTTCTCTCCTGTGTTCCCTTTGATCTGGCCCTACTCAGGGTGTGTCCTAAATAGCACCCTATTTCCTTTATAGTGCACTACGTTTGACCAGGGCCAATAGGGCTCTGGTCAAAACGAATTCACTATTTAGGGAATAGGGTGCCATTTGGGACGCAGTCAGACAGTGGTCATTTCCGTTTCCTCCCATTGATGTGTCAGTTAGGTGCCCGCTCTCCTCCATACTGAAATACATCATTGTCCGCCCGAACCCTCTCCTCTCAAAGCCCCGGCATTGATCTAAGTCGAGACTGACTAATCTTAATGGATCCATCGCCTTTATAGAGGTTATACCTGGGGCTATTATACATTGTTTGCCTTAATTCACATGCTTTTGTCGTCAGCTATTCATTCCCACTTTGCTTGGGGTCGTTTTGTCTGACACTTGATCTCAGGTCTTAATGGTTTTCCGGGATTGAATTTATTCTGTGTCTCCACTCTCTCTCTCCAACACCACGAGGGGAAAAATTGGTTTCCTCAGGGATCTTATGTACAGTATATTAGTATTCACAGAAGAATCAAATCCCCTCACAGAAATATAAATGACTACAAAGTCACATCAAATCAAAGGTTATTTGTCGCGTACACAGATCAGAAGATGTTAAAGCAGGTGCAGCAAAATGCTTTTGTTCCTAGCTCCAGCAGTTCAGTAAATGTCTAACAGTACAATACTAATACACGAATAATCCCAAGGAAAAAAGAAAAGGACAAAAAGAAGAAGAAACAAGAGATTAAGAAATATCAGAACGAGTCCAGTTTATAAATACGTGGTGTGTAAAGACAGTGTGGACAATATACATGTATAAGTAGGAAAAAGGTATGTACAGCAGTAGTTATTTAGGATGAGCTATATATACATTATACTGTATATACAAAAGTATGTGGACACCCCTTCAAATTTGTGGATTTGGGTATTTCAGCCACACCCGTTGCTGACAGGTGTATAAAATCGAACACACAACCATGCAATCTCCATAGCCAAACATTGGCAGTAGAATGGTCTTACTGAAGAGCTCAGTGACTTTCAACGTGGCACTGTCATAGGATGCCAACTTTCCAACAAGTCAGTTCATCAAATTTATGCCCTGCTAGAGCTGCCCCGGTCAACTGTAAGTGCTGTTATTGTGAAGTGGAAACGTCTAGGAGCAGCAATGGCTCAGCCGTAGGCCACACAAGCTCACAGAACGAGACCGCCGAGTGCTGAAGCGCATAGTGCATAAACATTTCTGTCCTCGGTTGCAACACTCACTACAGAGTTCCAAACTGCCTCTGGAAGCAAAGTCAGCACAAGAACTGTTCGTCGGGAGCTTCATGAAATGGGTTTCCATGGCCGAGCAGCCGCACACAAGCCTAAGATCACCATGCGCAATGCCAAGCATCGGCTGGAGTGGTGTAAAGCTCGCCGCCATTGGACTCTGGAGCAGTGGAAACGCGTTCTCTGGAGTGATGAATTACGCCTCACCTTCTGGCAGTCCGACGGACGAATCTGGTTTGGCGGATACCAGGAGAACGCTACCTGCCCCAGTTTGAGGAAGGCCCTTTCCTGTTTCAGGATGACAATGCCCCCGTGCACAAAGCGAAGTCCATACATAAATAGTTTGTTGAGATTGGTGTGGAAGAACCTGACTGGCCTACACAGAGCCCTGACCTCAACCCCATTGAACACCTTTGGGATGAATTCTAGCGCCGACTGCGAGCCACCCCTAATCGCCCAACCTCACTAATGCTCTTGTGGCTGAATGGAAGCAAGTCCCTGCAACAATGTTCCAACAACTAGTGGAAAGCCTTCCCAGAAGAGTGGAGGCTGTTATAGCAGCAAAGGGGGGACCAACTCCATATTAATGCCAATGATTTTGGAATGAGATGTTGGAAGAGCAGGTGTCCACATACTTTTGGTCATGTACTGTATATATATTATATATATACTGTATATATAGGATGAGGGGATGAGGTAGGGTTTAGAAAGGTTTTGTACCTTAATGTAAAGTGTAACCCACATGCTTCGTGAGAGGGTCAAGTAAAATGACCGTTTCTTGCATTTAATCAATTTCCTATGAGGAAAAACTTCTTCAAAATGTGGTTTAATGTTGTTATGCATCTTATTAACAGAGGTTGGCACAATGTTCAAGTCCCCTTAGTGAATGTATTGAGAATGACCAACCAGCATTAACCTACAAAATCATTAATGCCATTAACCATGAAATAGGCAATGATATACTAATTCTCTGGTCAAATGCAAGACATATAGTACATGAATGCATAAGTCTATGTGTATACAGTAAGCCTACTAGGGCCTATACGTAGGCGTCTGGCATATTATGCTGTTTGTATCAGCAGTGGTGTGGGAGTTAGTCTCTCCTAGTCAGCTCACTTAAGACTCCCCTACACTATGGCTCAGTACTTAAGTCTCCCCTACACTATGGCTCAGTAAAATGCTTCTATGATGATTTAGGTTTGTCATTGATCCCTTGGCAGTAGAATAAACAGCAGTATTTTTGAGAAAATCAATGGCCATTAATGTTATTTACTTTGCCCATTCGGGTTGAACGCTGCTCCCCCCCCCCCCCCCCCCCTCCCCCCACCTGCCCAGTTCAGTCTCCTGACCTCTTAAAGCCTCTCAGTATACTCCTCCCTCCTTCCCTTCATTCACCAGACCGTGAATTTGTTTCCCTCCTCAGTCAAAACCTAGCCATGTATCAGTCCTGGAAAATAAAATCTTGCAGCTTGACTTTCAAAGGTGTTGTTTTTGTTGTGTTTTCTGAGAGAGCTTTCTACATTTTCTTTCTATACCTGCTGATGTTTTACCTCTCTGTTGTTTCTGTTCTTCATCCATCAGCCCTCCTTTGACAGCTCAAATGAGCCTTGTCAGTTTTGTGGATTTGTTCTTTCGAAACGGAAACTCCTGTTTGCGGTTCAATCGTTTGAATCCATCACCTGAGTATCAACACACAGAATTCCCATATAAATAAATAATAATTGCAGTTAGTGTATCACCTCTAACATTGTGTTATTTTTGTTATGTAACACGGCCATACATAACAATAGGAATCCCCACAACATCATAAATATAGACTACAGACTCATTACAGGCTAAAAGAGGCCATATGCTATTTACTTTGCCCATTTGGGTTGAACGCTGCTCACCACTGGTCAATAAAGAAGTGGTCAGATGACACAGATGCTAAGCTACAGGACTGTTTTGCTAGCACAGACTGGAATATGTTCTGGGATTCTTCCAATGGCATTGAGGAGTACACCACATCAGTCACTGGCTTCATCAATAAGTGCATCGATGACCTCATACCCACAGCGACCGTAGGTACATACCCCAACCAGAAGCCATGGATTACAGGCAACATCCGCACTGAGCTGAAGGGTAGAGCTGCCACTTTCAAGGAGCGGGACTCTAACCCGGACGCTTATAAGATATCCCGCTATGCCCTCAGACGAACCATCAAACAGGCAAAGTGTCAATACAAGACTAAGATTGAATCGTACTACACCGGCTCCGACGCTCGTCGGATGTGGCAGGGCTTGCAAACTATTACAGACTACAAAGGGAAGCACGCGAGCTGCCCAGTGACACAAGCCTACCAGATGAGCTAAATTACTTCTATGCTCGCTTCGAGGCAAGCAACACTGAAGCATGCATGAGAGCATCAGCTGTTCCGGATGACTGTGTGATCACGCTCTCCGTAGCCGATGTGAGTAAGACCTTTAAACAGGTCAACATTCACAAGGCCGCAGGGCCAGACGGATTACCAGGACGTGTACTCCGACCATGCGCTGACCAACTGGCAAGTTTATTCACTGATATTTTCAACATGTGCCTGACTGAGTCTGTAATACCAACATGTTTCAAGCAGACCACCATAGTCCCTGTGCCCAAGAACACTAAGGTAACCTGCCTAAATTACACTCATGTCTGTAGCCATGAAGTGCTTTGAAAGGCTGGTCATGGCTCACATCAACACCATTATCCCAGATACCCTAGACCCACTCCAATTTGCATACCGCCCCAACAGATCCACAGATGATGCAATCTCTATTGCACTCCACACTGCCCTTTCCCACCTGTACAAAAGGAACACCTATGTGAGAATGCTATTCATTGACTACAGCTCAGCGTTCAACACCATAGTGCCCTCATAGCTCATCACTAAGCTAAGGACCCTGGGACTAAACACCTCCTTCTGCAACTGGATCCTGGACTTCCTGACGGGCCGCCCCCAGGTGGTAAGGGTAGGTAACAACACATCTGCCATGCTGATACTCAACACGGGGGCCCCTCAGGGGTGCGAGCTCAGTCCCCTCCTGTACTCCCTGTTCACCCATGACTGCATGGCCAGGCACGACTCCAACACCATCATTAAGTTTGCCAACGACACAACAGTGTTAGGCCTGATCACCGACAACGATGAGAAAGCCTATAGGGAGGAGGTCAGAGACCTGGCTGTGTGGTGCCAGGATAACAACCTCTCCTTCAACGTGATCAAGACAAAGGAGATGATTGTGCACTACAGGAAAAAGAGGACCGAGCACGCCCCCATTCTCATCGACAGGGCTGTAGTGGAGCAGGTTGAGAGCTTCAAGTTCATTGGTGTCCACATCACCAACAAACTATCATGGTCCAAACACACCAAGAAAGTCGTGAAGAAGGCACCACAAGGCCTATTCCCCCTCAGGAGACTGAAAAGATTTGGCATGGGTCCTCAGATCCTCAAAAAGTTCTACAGGTGCACCATCGAGAGCATCCTGACTGGTTGCATCACTGCCTGGTATGGCAACTGCTCGGCCTCCGACCGCAAGGCACTACAGAGGGTAGTGTGTACGGCCCAGTACATCACTGGGGCCAAGCTTCCTGCCATCCAGGACCTTTATACTAGTCGGTGTCAGAGGAAGGCCCTAAAAATTGTCAAAGACTCCAGCCACCCTAGTCATTGACTGTTCTCTCTGCTACCACATGGCAAGCGGTACCGGAGCGCCAAGTTTAGGTCCAACAGGCTTCTTAACAGCTTCTACCCTCAAGCCATAAGACTCCTGAACAGCTAATCAAATGGCTACCCGGACTATTTGCATTTCCCCCCCCTCTTTTACGCTGCTGCTATTCTCTGTTTATTATCTATGCATAGTCACTTTAACTCTACCTACATGTACATATTAGCTCAAATACCTCTACTAACCTGTGCCCCCGCACGTTGACTCTGTACCGGTACCCCCTGTATATAGCCTCGCTACTGTTATTTTACTGCTGCTCTATTTTTTGTTATCTATTTTTACTTAACACTTATTTTTCTTAAAACTGCATTAATGATTAAGGGCTTGTATGTAAGCCTTTCACTGTAAGGTCTACACCTGTTGTATTCGGCGCATGTGACGAATACAATTTGATTAGAACTTTTAATTTTGATATTGTTTTCAATTCAGTGGATCTGATACAAAATGTTTGTGTTCTAAAAACAATATCCGATCTGTTTAGGGTGATATTATTTCCTAATAAAATGGTCTATTAGATATTAAATTTCGCTCATTTGTTTTTCAACTGTGTTATAGTAGCTATTTCGGCAGGCACTGGACTCGACACAATTGGCAATGGGAGAATTGAATCCCCTCGACTGCTGACAGCTGCTCAATTTATGTGCGGGAGGCCAGATACATTTTTTTATTTGAGAAAGGAAAAAAAAGAAAGTCCACTGTTCTTCTCTCCTCCTCCAAGGCTAACTGTATATGGGCAGAGAAAGTAATTAGCTACTGTACGTGCATCTTTTACCACGCTAAACATGTATAATCTTATAAGGAGTGGAAAGCAACAATAGTGTGTGTTTGTGTGTGCGTGTGTGCGTGCGCGTGTTTATGTTCTCCATTATAATTCTGCGTGTTCTCATGAAAGGAATAACAATCTCACATCTGAAAAAACAATTGTTGCTTTAATTGTGTTTCTTTAAACTAGAGGGCATTGCAATCCATAGCCCTGTATAATTGGAAAACCTAGCGTGTGGACATACATAATGAAGGGGTCTTTGTGTGTGTGTGTGTGTGTGTGTGTGTGTGTGTGCGGGAGTAACAATGTGTGTTCTTGTGTTCCAGGCTACCCACGCTATGACATCGTGGGAGACCACAGCAAGGGTGAATACCACCTCTTGATTCAGAGAACCGAAATGCAGGATGACGCCTTCTTCGAATGCCAGGCCATCCAGGCAGCTATCAGAACACGCCCCGCCCGACTAACTGTGCTCGGTAAGGATCAGCTACAATACTATTAGGTTACATTCAAGATCACTAAATCATTGTGTATGTCTGCAAGGTCCAGGTAAATGGGAAGGCGTATCAGAGTGAGTGAGTGTTGAGAGAACTTCCTGTTCAAGGCCACATAACACATTAAACTTGCAAAACGGCAGGTAGGAAAAGTAGTAGATCTGAGGAACCTGAGGAGTTGACATTTTAGAGGACTTAGGCTACTTCCCAAATGGCACCTATTCCCTATATAGTGCACTACTTTTGACCAGAGCCCCTTGACCAGGGCGACAGGTAGCCTAGCGGTTAGAGAGGCGAGCCAGCAGCCAGTTCGAATCCAGGATCCAACGGGAAAAATATGGCGGGAAGTGAGCTGGCAACCGGAGAAATGCTGGTATCAAATCCTAGATGCCATTAACTGCCGTTGTACCCTTGAGCAAGGCACTTAACCCCCTACAGCAACGGCGCCCAGTGGGGCAGCCCCCCGCACCTCTCCAAAAACATGTATGTGTGTCTTTCGGAGGGGTTGGGTTAAAAGTGGAAGTCAAATTTCGGTTGGACTTGGTGTACAATTGACCAATAAAGTGATCTTAATCTTAATCTTAATGGTGCCTGGTTAAATGTGCACTATATAGGGAATAGAGTACCATTTCGAATGCACACTTAAAGTGAGCGAGAGGAAGGGATGGAGGGAAGAAAATACTGTAATATTGAAATAGCTCAGTAATTATTTGAAAGGCGGAGGGAACGGAATATGAATCGGCTAGAGATCAATCATGGATGCATCCTCAAATCAGGCTTAATTAGGTGATGCCAAATCCCCCCAATCTGTTTTCCATCAGCCATCATTTGGGCTGGGATCGATGGAACCCTCCGATGCAAACCCTTTGGGGCCTTGGGCAGAGGCAAGGAAGGAACACCGAAATTAGCATTATTGATTCATCCTCCCTTGTTTAAAGCATGATATATTCCAGAGGTATTAGTTCATTATTCCCTCCCTTAGTGGATGAATTTTTTCCCACTAATTTAAAGTTGGTTACTTAGTGGGGAGGATGAAGCGGCCGGTCAAATGCGGGGAGAGGGGAGAGTTAAGATGTTGGCGATTCGGCTCCATTAAAATTATGAATTATAGATAAGGGCACCATATTTTTATTGTGTGTGTGGGGGGGGGGGGGGGAGACAAATCATCCTCCTCCCCAGGGCCTAGCCATTAGCCTGACACTTAATCCCAGACAAATCGGCATCGATTTGGAAAAAAGCCACCAGTGGGACCGGTGAGTGAGGTAATGAATGTATGGATGCTGTCACGGTCAATCCCCACATGTCACTTCCCCTAGGTGGAGACGGTTGGAGACTCAGCGGCAGCAAACCACCGCCCTCACTCCAACGCCTGACAGTCTGGCCTTGTTGTGCTCTCATAACCAGAGTGGATGCCTGCCAATACACCGACTGGCTCCTCCTCACAAGCATCTGTTTATGTCAGGGATTGTTTTGTTTTTTTGGGACTGCAGATTTGTTGCTTTGTGTGATGTTGAGGATCGGTGCTAGACATACTTTGGGATTCCTCTTTGGACCCTGTTCGTTGAACATAGCTTCCATAGTTGAAATATTTATGTTTATACATTGCAATACCCTCCCAACACAACGTCCCAAAAGTGCAAAATTGTTCAGTGTTCATGCACCCCATAGGTAATCCATTACACAAGTTGTAGCTGCTGCATTAGACAAGGCAGTGCCATTTCCGTAATAGCCTGACCTTACTTTCCTCCCTCATAAGGAAAGCATTCTATTTGCCGACATACAATAATATCCCAACACACTGCATCCTGCCTGGGCCTGAACTACAGATAAACCCAGGGCCTGTCATTAACACCGACTCCACACAATTTTGCTGGGATGAAAATGCCCTCCACCTGGGACATTTGAACTTTGAACCCCATCTGAGAGTGGCAGGGTAATCCAAGTGGCCTTGGGGCGGCGGCTCTGTTGAATAAGGCATGAGATAGTGCAGGTACAAGATCCAAAGGGGCCCTTGAGGCTAATTAGATCCCTAGAAATCCCCCCCAGCCATGCAGGGGAGCCACCGCCGGCTTTCACCGGGCTAAAGGGGGATAGCACGGCACTAGCAGAGGTCAGGGCTGCTTTAAATGGGCTTTGGAGATAACCGCAGGTATTAATCTCAGACATGCATGACTGCCAATAGAGCAACAACATGGCAGGAGAGTTGCCTCAATCAGTTGATGTCTTCTGTTGACAAAGATGCTTTCTGAGCATGATACGTGAAATGTGCCCTGCAAAATGTGTTAGGCCCAATGAACAACATTTTCCAAAATGTGTTAGGCTAGGTCCATATCTAATAGCTGAGACGAGATGGTTTCATGGAGTTTTAGATAATTAGTTTGCTTAATCTGAACAGTCTAGTTTTAGAACATCTCGTGTCGGCTGCTAGAGTTTCCAAGATTCAACAATTCAAATCTTAGCAAAAGACTTGAGATGAGACTGGTCAGTTTGGCCAACCAGAGAACAGTGCTCTGACGTTCTGTGTTTGCCAAGCTGCTTGCTAGCTTGCTGATATGTCTCTGTAAAGTCGCAGAGTATGTATGACCTGTCTTTGGTGTGCCAGTGGCTGCATGTATTTCATGTCACTCGATTGCTACAACAACTTGCTACAAAAAGTACAACTTGTTACAAAGTTTCAACACGTCATTGAAAAGTATAAAGTGTCACCATGGAAACTGATCATAATTTTGATCTGAATGCCCAGTTGTTAGTCAGTTGTTCTACAACACAAAATTCTAAAACGGTCTAGTTTTGTCTCATGTCGGCTCTCCTAATATCAGCTGCTAGATCTTAACCGGCCTTTCGATAACACAAGATAATGATTGAAATACGTTTTTGTACAGCCTCTGTATTATGACCTGGAGTGCAAGTGTCTGCTCAGTTTCTTTTAACGTGTTGTTTACTGCAATTCCTATAAACCATTGCAGCTATCTACATTATATTGAGGGATGCGGAAAAATCTCACATGGGCAATATTTGGAAATGCTATAATTATCCATCATATTTGTGTAGTTATTTACTCTAATTGATGTGTGTGATTTGTCAGTTGAATAAATTTAACAGAGCACATCTTTGAGTTTTTCCAAAGTGGCTGTTGAATAACTCTGCAAAAAGGTTTAATGCTTTGGACAAACTGTGGCCTACATTAGCTCTACCACAGCTAACAGATTACCTTTCTTACCGTCCTTGAATGACCTTACTTCATTGCATGCTAACTCGGTCAATCGCTTTTAACCCTGTGATACCCAAGCATTTTTCTAATGTGTTCTTGCAAGACTTACGAAAATACCTTTAGCTCTGGCTCAGAAGCGAACTGTAAGCTTCAATTCACATGCGCCATGTTTGAAAACAACCTGCCCCTGTGGCTGAAAGTGAATTACAAGTTCAGATCAACCTTGATGTGCCGTGAAAGTAGCTAAATAAAACATTGAGGTAACCCTTCCCTGAAAAGTCTACACACACATCTAGACTCTATACGTCCCCGTGAACCTCCGGCTACCTCCGGGCTGATTAACCAGTGCTTTTTGGAGCAAAAATGATTTCCCCTCCCCTCAGCAGCTTAGTGGTTATTACTGTCACTTTTGTTATGGATTAGCCTTTATGCCTACTGATGGTAATCACCTTCTGTACCGGCAATAAAATATCAATCAAACTGAGGAGAAACAGCACACACCGCCTCATCTACAAGGCTGCCTCTCGCCTGCAGCCATAGAGCCATTGCACATTGGCGAACTCTTCCACCCCACAGTGGCTGTTTTTTTTTGTCACTGTAGTATCCTTGCTATGGTGATTGATGCCTTCTCTTACACAGCGAGCTGATATTTGTATCCCTCATCTCAACATCCTCCCATCCTACCAATCTGCCTCTTATTTAATGTCAAAGCCGGCAGTGGTCCAGGCTAGATAAACGATCACTAGATTGGGTAGGGCACTGGGTTGTTCTGTGTGTTAAAGAATGATCTATAAGTGGAACTTTTCAATGTAGAGCCTGTTGATATATGGCCTACAGTCATATATTGATGCTAGAAAAATTACTAATTTTAGCTCGAATTGGTTGAGCTACGAAACATTAATTAATTAAGTATTGTGTTTATTTTGAATAATGTATTTGTATTATTTGGTACTGGACACTCTGTTTATTATTTATTGCCTTGATCTGGTTCTGTATTTGATGGATAATTTGCAAGCAATAAGCATCTGGGGCACAGGAGGCTGCTGATGTGTTTGATACCATTTCACTTATTCTGCTCCAGCCATTACCACGAGCCTGTCCTCCCCAGTTAAGGTACCACCAACCTCCTGTGGTCTGGGGATACAGCATCTATTGATTTGAGAGCTAGAGCTTGTATTGATTAGGCCATTCAGGTTAGTGTTATTGGCATGGGGTCATTGACATTCACCTCTATTCACTTTCTTGAAGTTTTCATCCAATACAAAAGACGGATGATTCTAAGATGATTTCTTATATTAAGGTAACACCTAACAACAGCCTCTATGTGGGACAATTTCATTTTGAGCAATCTTTTGTTCTCCAAACGGATTGAAATAGGTATGATACCAATGGGAGCTGTCTTATAAACAAGCCTGAAAAAAGCTCATCTAATTTGTCTTGAGCCCTAGAGTGATTACAGCATCAGGACCAAAATAAATGAAGATGTAAATTAAATTAATGGAAACGCCGTTAGGAGATCATTTGTATTTTCAGCTTGCCTCCTCCTTTGCCATTTTTTATCCTTTTGTACTGTCACGGTGGATTGAGAACACTAGACAGTGGGGAGAAAAGTGCAGCTCATCCAAGCAGAATGTTAACACTCCCACCTCTCGCTTCCTCCTCTTTTTCTCCTCTCTGTTGAGCTGTGGTGGTTTGAGGGATTGTGGGCCACTGGGCCATGTCTGTTGGGTGTTTCGGAGCATGGCGGGATTCTAGGGAGGTGTCCATCAT